GCTTCGATGCGGTGTTGAACAACGACGATTGTGTCGATGCTGGCGTGTTGAAAGAGAATCCGGGATTTTGACCGGTCGTACCGAACGCCGGGACGGGCTGAGCGGGCTTGTTGAACAAACCGGTGCCAGCATTCTAAATAAATTGCGAATAACACTTTCGATTACTTATAAGAAAACTTTAAATTATTTGTTTGATCTGCGGCCTAACATTTAAGACTTGGCGAGTAAAAGACGACAAATTTATATGAGCGTGTCACAAAAAAATGGGTTTTGCAACATTCTAATACTGCGGATAGTTTGTGCATCAAAAATAACAAAATAAATCGATACACGAAATACTTTTATACCTTATTATTACCCTACTATTATCTTATATAAAACCACTTTTTTTATATAAAATGTCACTAAAACATGAATCGGAATTCGATAAAGATTATAATGATAAAATTTACTTTTAGTGAAGTTGAAATTAAAATAAAAATTATGAATAAGTAAATAATACTAAATAATAATAAATTACAGGCGCTTGCTTTAATTTACCTCGTTTTACGCGACCCCCCCCCCCCTTCCCCCAATAAAACGACCAATATTTGATTCGCCAGGGGTGGTCTATTGAGGGATTTTATGACAATAATACAGACATTTTAGTTATCACCGTGAGACAAATTCCCAGGGTCGCTATTAAAAAAATCATTGTGAGGATCGCAATTTGAAATAAAAATCACGAACGGCGCAGTGTATAAAATGTAAAAACGTATACAAAATTATGACGTTTTGTAGTAAACAATTTGAACCCAATTGATGTCGATACGGGGATATTTTCGAAATTTATAGCAGTGATGTTCTAGTTCTGACCTAGATTTTGGTTTAAAATTGTTAATTGTTATGCTTAAGATCCCTTTTAATAAACTTCCTATATTTTGAGTGACTGAGGCCGACCCTGTGCTATCAAATAAGCATATTGTAGGTATTCCGCACTGACTAAAAAATTATTAAGATCGATCCTGTCTCGGCAAAACAGGGACGTCGCCATGCCGATTTGCTTGATTCAACCTAATTTCAACTGTAAATAACATCATGACGCGCCTTTAACAAGGAAATCGGAATGACTCACGTTTGTTTACCGAAATATCAAAACATTGTGCGACATTGTGCAACAACTGGTGGAAACCGGACTAAACTAGTTATAATTGGTTTTGAGAACGGTATTTTTCCAAAAAGAGGCATTTACATTCACTAAATCAAATCGATATATGGCTTGGCAAGTAAAAATTCCTCACATAACAAAGATAACACAATTTTTTCAATCACTTTTTGTCAATGAGATAATCTATTTATTATGCACAATTTTCAAATAACTTTTTGTCCTGTATCAATACTAATAAACAATAATACATAATTTATATAGGATGCTACATGATAATGGAAATCTAAAATCTGTTAAGATAGTCGGGTTTTTAATTTTAATATAACATGAATAGTAATAGTTACATACTTCATGTTCTTCAAATTATTAGGAAATTCCAACTTTTTATTATTACTTATTAAAGCCCGTGTGGTTTTTTTGAAGTAATTAATACATATTTTGACTAGAAATTGAGGGTGTATCCTTGAGAATTTATTGTTTAGTCAGCTCTAGTTGCAAATTTTTAATACATTTTTATTGGAATACTCCGACCTTTCACATTCTATATTGACCCCACTGATATTATTAATCAGAAAAAATATTTCTTTGCTTCACTTAGATAAGAAGAAAATTGGAAACTCAATAATACAGACATTTTAGTTATCACTGTGAGACAAATTCCCAGGGTCGCTATTAAAAAAATCATTTTGTGGGGATCGCAATTTTAAATAAAAATCACGCATGGGGCAGGCAGTGTGTAAAATGTAAAGACGTGTACAAAATTATGAGGTTCTGTAGTAAGCAATTTGATGCCGATAAGGGGGTAAAGCTCTAAGCTCTGTTCTAACCCATCTTTAAATTTGACGAACAAAACCTACCCAGACATAAAGAAACTTTTATTTAAAAAAAAAAATAAGTGATTTTGCCAATATCAATTATTTTAAAAACGTGTATTCGTTACTTGCAATATCAGTTTTACAATATTGCATAAATATTAGCAAAAAATAAAGAGCAAACAATATTTTCGAAATTTATAGCAGTAATGTGTATAGTTCTGATCTAGATTTTGGTTTAAAACTGCTAATTGTTATGCTCAAGATTTCTTTTAATAAACTCTCAGTACCAAGTGAATTTTCCATAATTTCATTAAAATTTTAAGCTTTAAGCAATTAAAACAAAGGGAGAAATATTTCTAAAATGGTTCCTATATTTTGAGTGATTGACGCCGACCCCGTCTGTGCTACCAAATAAGCGTAGCCTTCCTGCCTATTTATTTATAGTATGCATATTGTAGGGATTCCGCACTGTTTAAACAATTTATTATTTTAAAAAATATTGAGAACGGTCCTGTCTCGCCAAAACAGGGACGTCGCCATGCCGATTTGCTTGATTCAAACTAATTTTAACTGTAAAAAACTTCATGACGCGCCTTTAACAACGAAATCGGAATGACTCACGTTTGTTTACCGTAATACCAAAACATTGGGCGACATTGTGCAACAACTGGTGGAAATCGGACTAAACTAGTTATAATTGGTTTTGAGAACGGTATTTTTCCAAAAAGAGGCATTTACATTCACTAAATCAAATCGATATATGGCTTGGCAAGTAAAAATTCCTCACATAACAAAGATAACACAATTTTTTTAATCACTTCTTATCAATGAGATAATCGATTTATTATGCACAATTTTCTAATAACTTTTTGTTCTGTGTCAATATTTACAATCTCTGCAGAAAATGCCAATAAACAATAATACACAATTTATACAGGATGCTACATATTGATACTAACTCCATGATACTGGCAATCTAGAATCTGTTAAAATAGTCATGAATATCCTGATGCAATTAAAAACATTGAAGAATTATAAAGTATTCCGGGTTTGTAATTTTAATATCCCATGAATAGTAATAGTTACATACTTCATGTTCTTCAAATTATTAGCAAATTCCAACTTTTTATTATTATTATTAAATATGTTTTTTTTTTAAGTAATTAATACATATAGATTTTGACTAGAAATTAAGGGTGTATCCTTGAGAATTGTTTAATCAGCTCTAGTTGCAAATTTTTAATACATTTTTATTGGAATACCTCGAACTTTCACATTCCATATTGACCCCACTGATCTCATTAATCAGCAAAAATATTTCTTTGCTTCAATTAGATTAGAAGAAAATTGGAAACTCAAACTCACCTGTGTGTTTGTGAATAACCCAGTGCCGAACGCCGAGCTAGTCTGGGGAGTAGTATTTGTACTGAACAAAGGTTGCGTTGGTGCAGCGCCGAACGGTTTCGCGGCTTGATTTGCTCCAAATGGGTTAGCATTTGGGGCAGCGGTGGTTGCAAATCCGAACGCTGAACTTGTAGGTGCTCCAAAACCAGTTGGTTTGGCCCCAAAGGGGCTGGTGGTGGTGTTCTGGCCCAGTCCAAATCCACTGCTCGGTGTTTGCCCAAATGGAGCTGTGGTTTGACCGAATGCAGTGCTTTGGCCAAACGCTGGTTTGTTGGCGTCTGTTTGTCCAAATAAGGTTGGAGCAGATGATACTGGAGCACCAAAAGTGGAAGAACCAAATCCAGGCATTTGTTGAGGACCTTATACATAGTTTGGCATTATAAATTGAACACAACAACAAAAAACATCAAACAAGTGACATTTAATTCATTTCCAAATGATAAAAAAAATATGTAATTACCTTTTCTATTGGCTTGGTAATCTTCAAATCTCAGCTCTTCAAAAGATTTATTTTCATACTCCTTCATACAGGTTATACTGTGGTGCTTGGTGTTGATATTTTGCGCATTGCCATTTTTCATCATGGTGTCTGTACCAGTCACTGGATTAAATTTTATGACGGTCCCAGTTTGTTGCCCACCAAACCCTGTAGAACTTGAAAAAAGTCCTGTACCTCCAGATGGAGTGAAAATACTAGATGTTGGTTGCTGGAAACCCTTCATTCATTAGGCATAAATTGTTAATAAATAATGTACTTATTACTTGTTGAGGTGAACCAAATAATGTAGGCTGAGTCTGATTTCCCACAAAGCCGAATGTTGTTGGCTTATTTTGCTGCCCAAATGTTGAAGTAGTGTTAAATAAGCCACCAGCTGCTGGTTGTTGGCCAAATAAATTGGAGCCTGAAATAGATATAACAGGTAACAAACTTTATAATTAACAAAAAGCACAATTGTATCAAACACACCAAAGCCCGATTGAGTGGTGGGCGCAGCCCCAAAGGTGCTAGTATTGGTTTGAAATAAGTTCGACTGCTGGGGCTGTGTGGACGGAAACATGGAAGATCCTGCAGGTTGACCGAACGTCGAAGTTGTAGTGCTTCCAAAAGCCGCGGCGGGTTTGGAAAAGAGGTTTTGATTTTGTCCAAATGGGTTGGTTGTATTGGCGTTTTGCCCGAAACCTAACAGCAATCGCTTTACTATCTAACGGAATTGCAAATACCAAAAAATCCACTTACCAAAAGAAGTGCTCGGGGCTGCCGCCCCGAAAGCTGGTTTGTTTCCCAGGTTTCCAAACATTTCTTATCTTAGTTATGTCACCACAATGCCAACAATAACATCACAATTTACAAATGTTCCAGTTCACTGTACTTGCGAAGTAAAGTTTACTAACCAAATCTAAAAACGACAATCGGTTGGCAGCTTTTATCAAAATGGAAAATAAAATAATCGCAGACCACAAAAACCATAGAAAGCAAAAATCAAGTTTTGGCTACGCTTTTAAATGTTGTCTATTTAGAGAATCAGGAATTGTTAGAAACTGGAAATCGAAATTTTAACTGTAGTCAATAAATGTCACCCGGCGGCCCAATGTTGTCATACTGGTATATTTATTCGATTTAATCAAAAGTATCAAAAGTAAAAAAAATCCCAAAATTGTCTTTTAAAACTGCCAATTTCATGTTTCATAAAAAGGAATCTCCAACCTCCGTTCTAAAAAAAAATCAATGATTTCAAACTATGTAATGGTAAAATTTACATTCCTTTAATTTTCCCATTTAACTTATAGCATGAACAGGACAAAATAGGTGGAAAATGAAATTAAATTGTCAAATAAATTAAAGTATAAAAAAATCTGTGATTTTTTAGTGGTAGTATTTTATGTAATATATTCCAAAGCATTGTAATTTTAGATACACTATACAGTATCACAGTGTGTTAATTATCAACTATCAAGCAAGCTATCTGGAGAATAATAATTGAACATTTGGTATCAAAGTGGGAAAAATTCTGACTCAATCTTTGAAGTTTGCAGTGTTTGAAATTGAACATTTGAACTACTAACCTTCGATTAGAAATCGTAAATAGAAATATTTAACATTCAATTTTTATGTCACGACTCCTTTTCTTTTTAGAAAATTATGACGGTTCTGACATTTTGATTTGCGGTGATTATACCACAATTTCTAAATCCTTATAAGATGTGTGCTCTTAAAATTACCCGCTCTATTTTATGGCAACTTTCAAATTATACCCTTCTACAGGCGCAGACTACGACTCAAACGATTGCAAATTCCATCAGGTTTTACTACACAGTCAAACGAAAAGTGGCTAAAGATGAGAACTATTTATCAAAGCATTTATACGATAAAATCAGGATAAAAGGTCCAATAACGGTGGCAGAGTACATGAAAGTAGTGCTTCAGAATCCTATGCAGGGTTATTACATGTCGAAAGACATGTTTGGCGAGAAAGGTGATTTTGTTACGTCCCCGGAGATCACGCAGATTTTCGGAGAAATGCTGGCTGTTTGGTTCTTGAATGAGTGGCAAAAAATCGGTTGTCCTAAGCCACTTCAAATAATTGAATTAGGACCTGGCCGTGGCACTTTGAGTTCAGACATTGTTAACGTGTTTAGCCATTTCAAAGCGTTGCATAATGCCAGCCTTCATTTAGTGGAGATAAGTCCCGTACTGAGTGATATTCAAGCTGGAACACTCTGCCTTCAAAGCAGTTTAAACAACAATAAGAATGCACTTGTTTATAGACATGGTAACATTTATACATTTCGATGGGTGATATTTTAAGATAATTCGTAGGCATCTCAAGACATGGCATTCCAGTAAGCTGGTACAAACAGCTCAAGGATGTGCCAGAGGGATTTACATTGTTGTTGGCTCATGAGTTTTTTGATGCTCTGCCAATTCATAAATTTCATAAGACTTATGCTGGTTACAAAGAAGTTTTGATTGATATTGATAATTCAGAAGAGAAGGAATACAAGTTCAGGTATCATATATTCTTCTAATTGTTAATCATTCAAACATAAATTTATGTTCTAGATATGTCTTAGCCAAAAATGATACTCCCATGCTAAAAGTGTTGCTCAAATCTAATGAAACCCGTGATCATGTGGAAATTTCTGCAGATAGCCTCCTCATTTATGAGCAAATATGCCAAAGATTGGCTTCAAGTGGTGGTATAGCTTTGATATGTGATTATGGACACAATGGCACTGGAACTGACACTTTTAGGTACTCAAAGATTAATTTCAAAGGCTAATTTTATAGAATAAATTTTGCAATATTTCATTTTAGAGCTTTTAAGAAACATACTCAAGTAAATCCTCTAGTGAAACCAGGCACTGCAGATCTAACAGCAGATGTAGACTTCAGTCTTATAAGAGACATAGCGAACAAAACCAATGATGTTTTAGTCTTTGGACCGGCAAAGCAAAAAAACTTTCTGCAAAGAATCGGTATTGAACATAGAGTGAAGGCCCTTGCAGAAAACATGGAAGACAAAAAAGATGTTGAGCACCTGAACTCATGTTACAAATTTTTGACCGAAGAAAGTAAAATGGGTGAAAGATTTAAGTTTGTCGCCCTCATGCCTGCAACCATGAAGAAAATTATCGATAAATACCCAGTAGTGGGATTCGTCTGAGTTCCCGCTGAAATTAGTTGTTGTTTATGGTCTGTGATAATAAATTGTTGATATAGATTCAGTTTTGGTTATTTTAAATGGCTAGATTTGCAAAAAAGGTTAATTATTTTTAATTAGTTTCGCCTCAATTCCACAAAATATTATGCACCAGGTATCCATGCCAGGATCTACTACTTGATTTTTTTTTTTGTTAAATTGTGTAATATTTATTTCCTTTCTATCCAAATGTCAAAAAATGCGCATTCATACCAATGTTCCAAGTGAGCTTTTTTTCATTTACATGTTCCGCGCACCGCATGTAATCTTTATGAGGTTGTTGAATTTTAAACTTTGTGGTTCTCAGTGAAGCAGGAATTATTTATTTCTAAATGTTTAACAAAAGTTAATTATTACCTGACATTTTATTTCTATAGTGACAATTATTACTGAATTAGAAAAAACATTTTAAGCCGCCCTATTTTTTGTATAAAACTAAACAAATTACTTATTTCAGAATAATTTTAGGTGATATAAAGATATCTCTAAATTTGTGTAAAATATGTTGTTTATAACTACCAGGATCATCGACCACCAACCCGTTCTCTTCTTTTACCACTTTTTTTGGAGAGTTGTTTAACGATTTACAGCCAATAAGCGCCATAGTATATACAATTAATTTTTGTGTGCAAGAAGAAGATACAAATTTTTGTGTCCGTTGTGTTCAAACTATTGTTTGTAAAATATTTGCTTTTATAGTTTGAAAAGTGGAAATGTCCAGAAGACCAGCACCACATTTCAGACGAGCTATAAACTTGAATAATGAGGGAATAATTCAACCTTTTATTCTGGCATAAAAAATTATGTGGCCGATTTATTAAAATTAAATTCGATCACTAAATTATTACACCCGCAAACTTTAAAACATTTTATTGCACTATAAAAAGAAGTAAAATTAAAACAAAATAAATTATACAATCGCTCAACAAAATAGTTTAATCACTGTCCAATTTTTTGATAATTCCATACTCTTGGGCAACCTTCAAAGCTGCGTCAATTGTTTCGGCTATTTGCTTCCTCTCCCCGTCATTGTCAGACAATAATTTCAAAGCCATCAGTATTTCCATGATATCAGTCTCCATTAGCTTCTCTGCCAAACTCTTGGAAGTGGTTATAATATTAGCAATAATACATACTCCTCTGTACTGCATTCCGATCACGTCATTGGCTAGCAGACAGTGCATAGCATCCAACCAATTGGTAGAGTCGAATACTTTCTCACAACACTTCTTGCTGAAACCCGTGAGAATAGCCAGCATTCCTGCCGCCGCCATAGCAGTCTCCTTGTCTTCGTCCAGGCAACAGGAAACGACAAATTTAACTCTATCGTTATCACCTTCGAAAAACTTCACCACATCTTCGGACATTGTCATATTGCACATACACTGAATGGCTGCTCTGCTTATTTGTTCGTGGTCTTCGTACATGTAGTTTTCTATTTTGCCCAAACCTCCCTCTTTCACTATCCGCTGGCGGGCAGCTTCACTTAATTGAGCCAAATTGCACAAAGCCATTAGGGCTTCAAAATTCTCCAAACCGGTACAATCTGGATGAAGCAGCGATAACAATGGTCGAACGCATTCCAACGCACGTTGGCCTGGAAATGCTACCGCTGGGTCCATAGTTATACCTATAAGATATTTTTAATATATACGTTAACTCAAAAGCACACAGACACAAATTAGAATGACACTAAATCTATTTGATTTTACCGAGATCTAAACAACAAAGCTCCTAACAGGGGAGGTGTCCAGTTTATAATATTAAAAATTAATCTTGGCTCAAAATTGAAAAAATCATTAACGCAATCAATGATAGAATCCTTTTTGGCTTCTGTGATTTCTAATTTCTGCAGAAGATTAGTAGCGAAAGGAGATTTGGTCCGAGACTTGCACTATTTCAGCAAAGATGTTTGAGAACACTGATGGAGATCTTCTTGCTATACTGTCTGATATAAACTGCAATACAATCCAAACAGTTCAAAGAATATACCCCTGAACTGAGGCAGGTGCAATGAAATATTATCGAAGTAGATCAGGAATCGTTCTGGAGTTTTTGATTTTATTATATGATATGACAATTTGTATTTTTTGGCAATTTTGTAAAATAACTTATTGGTAGAATGAAGGGGAGAACTGTTATGAATGTTATTGGAAGTGCAAAGTTAAACAGCTTATAGAACAAAGAATAAAAAATCCTGAATTCGATTGATTTACCTTTCCTATCTAATTGAAGATTCAGAAATGGTAAGTTAGAATAAATTTTCTCATGTAAGAAGCTGATAGACGTTAGAAATTCGGTAAGCGTTTGTTGGTTACCATATCAGACAATGCAGATATCGACCACATATCTTGTTGAAACTGGTAAGTATGTGGAGAATTGGGTATCCATAATTTTTCTTTCAAGATTGTTCATGAAAATTTCAATTAAAAAAATTGAAAGGCAAGATGTCATTCCAGTATGTGTTTGTGTGAGTTTAAGTTTCCATCTTTGTATGTATGTAAGTTATTTTTCTCTTTTAAAAATTACTTTTGATCTGATGATGCCGTGTGTTTTTGAGGTCTTGACTTCAGAGTTTGAATGATTCTTTATACTTTTGTGATACCAGGTCTCTTTGATGATGGGCCATTTGTTTTATTTATTTTGAGGAGATTAGAAGCTAAGGGGTACAAGTGCAGACATGTTTTGAAAATAATGATAATTATTAATATTGTTAAGAAAATAATTATTAATATTGTTAAGAAAAATTACAAAGGGTGGCGTTGAGGTAAGCAAGGACACCTCCTAATTTAACCCAAGTTTTGCTCCTAGTTAGTGCTAAAAAATCTAAAAACCTTATACACCAACTGGAAACAACTACAAGTTAGCTATAACTATAACTAGTTCAAGAGAGAAAATATGATCAATCCTGGACCATTTATACAATTATACAATTTAACTTTAATGAATACAAATCAGAAAGTAGCAGTGACCTAGAGACATGCATAGAACAATTTAAGATAATTATTAATTACTATTTATTTAGGGATATATATTCGTATTTTTCAACCTTTCGAACAAAAGCAAGGAATTTTTACCTAATTTTGAGACGAAAATATGGCGAGATACAGATTTGATTTAATTCGTCTTCTTTTTATTATTTATTTAGTGGGAAACGATATTTGATACACATAAAAGTTTTAGTGCTTATTTTATGTCCACTTTAAACTTTTCAATTAGTTCACTGGAGGAGATCCAGCTAACGGGAATCATAACTTCGTAAAAATAAATAATACGGGACTGTTTTTTTTTTCAATGAAACTACTATTTACAAAACTTCTCGATTCCTCCTGCGTCGGTTATTGTTGAATTGAACTTGCTGACGTTTCGCTAATCAGCTTAACCGAAACTGTTTCGGTTTTAGTAAAGCTCTGAAGAATCCAACAGTATGGGTGCAGAAACGTCAACAAGTTCAATTCAACAACAACCGATGTAGGAGGAATCCAGAAGTTTTGTAAATAGGGCCTGTTATATTTTAAATAGAGACAAAATAAAGTCCTAAAAGCCTTTGTTAAATAGAACGTGAATTACTCATGTAACTTAAATTTGGGACATGATTTCTTGGTTAATTTTAAGACAAATTATAGGGTGTTTAATTATTTCTTTTGTTTTTCCTAAATAACATTTGAAATTGGTAATCTATTTTTTTTTAATAACAGTTGACAAAAAGTAAAATTGATTTCCAAGGAATAAATTTATGTTATTTCAAATATTATATAGAAAAAAACAAAATTAAACTTTACTTAGAAAGGGAGACCTTGCGGACCGCATTTATATGAACTTTTTGTCTTAAAATTAACCAAAGAATTATTCCTCCAAGTTAAGCTACTCAACCTACTAAACTTACTACTATTTATTACTTACTTATTACTACTTAACTCCCTATATTATAAGACCATAATATAATAAGTAAATTACTGCTAAATTAGGTGCACATTCATATGTACTTTATGATATTACGATAATATCACTTTTTCAAAGAAACTTCTATAGGCTACTGTAATACTATTTACAAATCATCTGGATTCTTCCTACGTCGGTTTTGGAGATAATACTCACTAGAGCAACTTTACTGAATAATAAGGATTATTACCTTTTTAAATTTGTAAGCAGAGACCAAATTTAATTCTTTAGATACTATATTAAATAGTTTTCAAATCAAATATTAAAATTTATTCAGTAAAAATATCTTTTTCTTTATTGTCTTAACATATCACCAATATCCCTTAGCATCTAATCTTATCAATTGGCAGTAGTGGATCTCCGGAAAATTTCTAATATTACAGGAGGTAATACTTACCTATGCGAGCCAAAGCCTGTGCAGCATGCCTCTTGCCTTTATCGGTCCCTTGTAACGCAAGCTTGATCAATACTTTGACCCCTCCTTGTTGTACTATAAGACCTCTAAGGTCGCGCTCGCTCGCTAAAGCATTAAATACCCTAGCGATTAATTCTTTAGAGTTAGGACTTTCGGTCTTCGCTAAAGCCACTAGCGCCACTGTAATATTCTCATGACCCAGCACTAAAATACGTTTAGTTACAAAATCTGGATCATCAAGTTCATGCTCTTCCGGTATGTGCTGTTTAGCGAACTTGGCAAGTTCAATCATCTCCGGAATCACCTCCTGTTTCTCGTACGCATTGCACAAATTCACCAAAGTAGTCACCACACCAAACACCACACCTTGATCGCCTGTTGAGGCTAATTCCACTAAAGCTTTTAAAGCAGGTTTATCCTCCACAAGACTCTCTTTCACTTCGGCGTCCAAAGTCAGATACGAGAGCCCTTCAGCGGCCCACTTTCGTATGTCAGTGTCTTTGCTAGGATGCAACAAGAACCGTTTACAAGCTTCGGCCAGCTTCAATGTTGAACCCTCGGCAAAAGGTTTTATTGAAGAGTCACTACCTCCATAACTTCCCAGTTTGCACAGTCCCACCAGTGCCCTTATACGTATGTGATCATTTTTTGATTTGTACAGCTTTTTCAAAATCTCTGCTCCCTGGCTCACAATTGACTTTGCTTTGTCAGCTTTGCTGGCGGCTGCGATCAGACACTCGCATGCCACTTTCTGTTGCAATTCATCATCGGTGTTTGCCATAACAAGAATCATCTCCAAAATGCCCTCCTTAAAAGCAACAAATAATATGAAAGAAATGTTTGGCTAGAGAAAAATTCTAATTCTATTGATAAAATTACAAACACCTACCTTTCCAATTATCGTATTTCCTACATCTAAAGGACCCCTTAGCAATGCAGTTAAGGCCACAGTAACACGAACTTTGGATTCTATATCTGGACTTAACAGCTTATCTTTTAAAAATTCCTCAATTTTGTTCAAGAACTTACTTCTCAGTGTATCATAATACATATTCTCATAAATTTTGGCCAAACAAACAGCTGCTATTGTTCTAGTAGATGGGGTGATGCTCATGGCACTTTCATACTTGCATTCCTCAAGCTCGCTAGCGCAGTCCAGAAGTCTGGCAACTCCGCCCATATCTACAAACTCTTCAGCCCAATTCAAAGCATTATAATTGATATTCCTTGTTAAAATATTGATAATTGCATCCCTGGCTAAACCAGAAATCGCCTGATTATTAATAGAAAATGTTAGACAATTCAACAGAGTATCAATGGTCTGCTTGTTTCTTTCTACCAAATCCTGCTTGGGTTTTGAGTCAATCTTGTTCTCCATTCCAGACAGGCTGTTTAAAATAATTTGAAGGCAGTACTCAGCGGCATTAACAATCTCTTTATTGTTAGAATCAAGAATTTCTAGAAACCAAGGAATCCCCACATCTTGAAGCACATATTTAGTCTCCTTTTCTCCATGCTTGCAGAGTTCACCAATGATTCTAACGCCTGTGACACAAATCTCTTGGTCTTTTTCAAGCTTCAACAAGTTTTTTATTTTTTGCACCACCTGTGATTTAATAATGACCCCTGAGCCCCCATGCTCCCTGGCCAGGACCAAGAGATTTTTTATAGCAATTTCTCTTTTCTCTTTTTCATTTGTTGGGTCAAAGACAATCTTCAACATACTCTCCAATTTGTTATTAATTTGGCCTTTCTGTCTCGCTATTTCCTCAACGATTTTATGAAGTCGTTGCAAATAAGGCTGGATTACTTTGTTTGTAGGGTCATCTTTAAAAATATCAGTGGCATCTTTATAGGCCTCTTCAAACCGCTTTAATGCTTCTAGCGCTTGGCAGCGTCTGAAAAGTGCTTTGGGATCGTTTGGGCTTATTTCTAAACATTTTGTGCAATCTTCTACTACCTTATCATACTTCTCCTGTTTCAGGTATACAGCCGCGCGGTTCTTGTAATAAACACTTAATTCTTTGGATTCACTCTTCGCGTTTTTTATGGCATTTGTGTAATATTTTAATGCTTCTTCCAAGTTTCCAGATTTGAAAGCTTCGTTGCCTAGTTGCTTGTAATTTTCGCACTCGTTTAATTCCATTTTCAATTTTTTGAGAGGTTATGTATCTTGAATTTTCGTTCCACTTTTCAATAACTTGGGAAGCATGAGTCCGGAACATGTATTTATAAGTTTCCTAATGGAATTTTCTCGGATAATCCGGATGACGAGTTATTTCTATTTTTAAAATGTTTATTTTAAAAATGAATACATCCTCCTCTTTGAGCTGTCGGCCGGGCTGCAGTGACCATTTGGCCAAGTTCTTTGTTTTACACTTGTAGAATAGATCATAATATTATTATGAAATGGTAAGTATTTAACGATGTTTCCAATTTATAGTCTGTATTGAACATGAGCATGAACAAATAACTTGTCATTCTCTGTTTAAGAGTTTGTTGAATTTACGTACGTAGGAACAAACAAATAACCATAACAATATCACAAGAAGTGCTGAAGTATTTTAATTTTGGTAGTTAACCAAGCCAAAATATGGTACGGAAATTCATTGTTTTAGTTTTTTTAAATCAAGTCTGTAGGTATAATTGTCTAAATATTTTTTTTATTAGTTTCAATTCGGTTTTAACATGTTCCCGGAGATCCCGCGACCATTTAATGTTACTTACCAAAGTTATTCAATTGCAATGCTACCAGGAAATGAAAGACAAGATGTAGAACGGGGTGGCAAAAGTAAGTAACCTACAGTCTTCCTCAACAGATTTGATTAACATGTGTGTTCAATTTTAGTAATTATGCCACCAAGCGCTCTGGAGCAGTTGACTAGACTCAATATAAATTATCCCATGCTATTTAAGTTGGTCAATAAGTCAACTAACAAGGTAACACACTGTGGGGTCTTAGAGTTTGTAGCCGATGAAGGAAAAGTTTATTTGCCACTCTGGGTGAATATCTGAACATATAATTACTAAATCATTAAGCATTTAAGCATTATTAATGTTGTTTTTGTGTCAAATATTAGATGATGCGTAACATGATGTTAGAAGAAGGTGATTTGGTTCAAATGGAGAGCATTTCACTGCCAGTTGGTACATTTGCAAAATTTCAGCCCCATTCACCAGATTTCCTGGATATAACCAATCCAAAAGCAGTTCTGGAAAATTGTCTGAGATCATTTGCCTGTCTTACAACTGGTAACATTTGAAAAACATATTTTTTAAATAACTCACCGTGTTTTATGATTTTTTAGGAGATATTATTGCCGTTCAATACAACCAAAAAATATATGAATTGTGTGTGTTAGAAACTAAACCAGGAAATGCCATAAGCATTATAGAGTGTGATATGAATGTGGATTTTGCACCCCCCGTGGGATACAAGGGTAAACTTCTAATACCTTAACTTCTCTGATGATTTTAACCTTTCATTTAGAACCTGAGATGGTTAAAAAACAGCAAGAGGAGACTATGGCGGTTGACCCAGCGGATTTGATGCCTGAACCATCTGGGTTTGTAGCATTTAAAGGTGCAGGAAATAGATTAGATGGCAAGAAAAAAAAGGAATCCTCAGCATCAGGTAGTAACGGATAGCCAGAGCTTTTTTGTAGGGTATCAATTTAATTTTTTATGGTTTTTAGAAAGCCCTCTTCCAAAACCAGTCTATGTTCGTGGCATACCTGATTACGATTATGAAATTGGGACACTTAAATTTATAAGGAGGACAGTTAAACAAAAAAGCAATCAAAATGAGGAATCTGATGAATTTAAACCATTTAGCGGAGCCGGTTTTAGTTTGCGAAGCAGAAATTGAGTCTTTTAGCTTTTAGAATTAATTTATTTTTAGTAAATGTTTTTAGTTTGAATTTTCATAATTTTTTAAAGCAGATACCAGTTTTGTTTTATTTTTGGAAGTTGTTGCAAAAAGTTTGCAAATAAGAAATAATGGTTTAATGGATTGTGAATGTCATTTTAATTTTGAATTTCACCATTCAATTAGGCCATTGTTACATATTTATACACACAGGTTGACCCTTTATCTTCTGACAATACCTTATCTAAAAATCTTTTCAATTACATATATTATATTTTTCTTTTAATTATATTTTGGTTCTATAGTTTAGCGTCTTCATTTGTTGAGATAAAGTAGTGTCTCAAGAACAGACCTCCCGGACATATTATTTCTACAAAATGAGTAAAAAAAGTTTATTTTGGCAGTATCGTTTACAAAACTCTAATAACATACCTAAATCAATCCAATGGAAATAACAACCAGTAAATTACTTCTAAATTGGCCGTTGTTAGTCTAACTATAATGTTTACATTATCTAAGAAACAATGTGCACATCCTAAATGTTCAAATAGAAACTGAGAATAGGATAAGGTACAAATAAACATTTTGCCTTTTATAAAAAGTAATCTGCCTGAGGTTTTTTTGAAGGAATGCCTCTTGTCTCTTGAGGCGCAGCTTCAAAAATAGTGAAATCACGTTGCAAGTGCTCATTAAGTTCTAGGATTGCTGCTACATTGCCGCACCTGTAACAGTAATTTGGGGCTGACCAAACTGTCAACACCGTCTCGTTAAAATGCCACTTGTATCCTTCCATGACCAGTTGGTGCGCGCGACAGATCATGTCAATATCATTTGCTGCATTAAACTGAGCTACTACATCGGACCCAAAAAGGTAGCCAGCTCCTCTGGGAGACACCCCCCAACCCTGAGTGTCTAAAAACACATTTTGTAATAAATAGTTTACAAGAAAATTGGGCTCACCTTCTGGATCACTCCAAAGTAAGTCACACATTGGTCCATCGTGGGGAACTTCCTGTTTACGATCTATAACGCGGATCTGATCCAAGGTTTGTATAGAAGGTGAAAGACCCCCATGAACGCAAAATATTTTTCCATCGATTATGGCGGATAGAGACAAGTAATCAAAAATTTCTGTGCAGTATCTCCAAACAGTTATAGAGCCATACTTTCTGAGGCATTCATCATAAAATCCATAGACTTGTGTTATTTGCCGAGATTCATGGTTACCTCGTATTAAGGTTATACGATCTGGATATCTAACTTTCAGAGCCAGCAGAAGCAAAAAAGTTTCGACACTATAGAAACCTCTATCCACAAAATCCCCCATGAACAAATAACTTGTTTCTGGGACATCTCCACCCACTTTAAACAGTTCCTTTAGATCATAAAACTGACCATGGATATCACCACAAACCTAAAGTCCGCATTGTAGTTTACTTTAAAATCGTCAGATTCTTACCTACAGTAACTGGGGAATCTACTCGTTGAACATTGCTTTCCTCCACCAATATTTCTCTGGCTTTGGCACATAGTGCCTTCACCTCACTCTCTTTGATTATTTCACATCGTTTGAGTTGTTCAATTTGTCTATCCAAGTCACTTATTTCACTCATCGTATAAATTTTAGGAAAAACTGTCACTAATTGAGGTTATGTTGACATAAATTATCTAAAAATGTTTGTTACGTCGGCTTTACTAAACAAATTTTCAACTGAATACAATCTGCAATTGAAAGAAATATCACATTTCCCTAAACAAAAAAACGTTCAACCGATACTCATTAATCACCCAGAATTGCATCAAACACTACAAAAAGCTACCCTTGCCTGCCTCTGCTTTGCAGTTTAAGCTACGACGGACGTGATCGAGAGTCGAAAACCCTGTACTTCAATGCCCATTCCCTATACTTCAATGCGTCGACCATAGATATAATTCTTTCAATTTTTGAAAACAGCAGAAATGTCAGAAATCAATCAAATCAAAAACAAATTAAACTATTTCTTTAATTCTTTGGGGAGCACCGAAAAGGGTTGTAAACAAATGTTTTGAGATGAGTCATTCGACGACGCGCGTGACGCATGTCTTTGCTTGTTCGGGGAATACCCATTTAAAAATTAATACAAAAAACTTGATTTATAGTCAATAAACAGTATTTTGGAATCCTGTTGGAGGTTGTAAACAGGCATTAGGAACCGGCGAAGATAAAAAATAATTACAAATGAGCAAAATATAAGCGTTCCTCATTTTTGTAGGCATGCGCTCCAGATTACCTCTAGCATGGATGCATAAAATGTAGTCGAACAGTCGGCTGTGTGAGTATTCAATTTTTCCGAAAGTGCGAGTGTGTGTGTGTATTCCTGAAACGTCGCGAAATTTGGAGGTAATCTTTTGCACAACAGTGATTGTGATGGGTAATATACACACGGTAGGACCTAACGAGGCGCTAATTGTATCAGGTAAATACAAAAAATTTATTATGTTGTTTTATTGGGATGTTTCCCCAAATGTTTTTGCTCAGTTTTCTGCTGTAACTTACCCATTGACCCAAATAAACAGAGGTCGTAAATATTAAAGGTTTACTGAATTGGTAATTGCTGCAAATTAAGTGTACTAAAATTTCGATTACCTTAGAATATGGATGAAATCAATTTTGTATGTTTGATAAATGTTGAAATTGGTTGTGTTTCGAATTTTGACGTACCTACATGTAAGTCAAAGTACCTTTTTACACCTCTTCTTTGATTTAAAAAATATGTATACAAAATATTTGTAGGTTATGTTAAACTTCAGATTATGTTTACAGATTTGTGTAATGAATTTCATGTTTTATGTATTTACGTAAGAATACGACAATTTGTAACTAACAAAGTTAGGTTAGTAGATTGCCGATGTATATATGCAAATTTTTGATAAAAAAATTAACCATCCATAGTCCCAAAAAGGTATTAAAACGCATTTTCCTATTTCTTTTCCCAATTGTAAATAAACAATAATCGATAATTAAAAATACGTCAATAAATACACATAGAAAAGTTAGATTACGTACTATGTGGGAATTTTTTTTTTGTTAAAATGCGCTTTTGAAATTATTTAAAGTGGAACAAGCTAGCTTGTTTGGCGCCATCGCAGATATGTTTGCGGATTTTAGTTCTCTGATCTAGATAAAAAGCAAACAGGCGCCGCGATTCCAACCCACGTTTTTTTCGTCGTTTGGAGGTCATTGACCGTTATTTTTATTTGAGAAAAGGCATCTTTCCTACAATGTTTTTACTTAGGGTAAAAAGTCATTCGTGAAATTGATTTTTGAAAAAAAAAGTTTGTCAGGTGTGGGGTTCGAACCCACGCTCCCTTTCGAGAACCAGAGCTTAAATCTGGCGCCTTAGACCGCTCGGCCAACCTGACTCACGTAAAGTGTTCGAGCAAAGCGGAGTAGTTGCCGAGAAACATTTTTTCCCTATTCATCTCCCTATCAAAATTAAATTGAATAGGAAAAGTGGATAGCGAATAAATATTTGAATAAAACTATTCTGCAGTTTTGGTTAGTTTCGGGATCCAGGGTGTCAGGTTTGTTTTTTTATTACTCTTAATGCTATAGGTTTTTGTATCATAGTATTTTATAAAATTAAGCGATTCGAATCGTAATTTTTGGGCGCCAGAGTTTGTTTCCTAACTCGCTTTGTTTTTATGGAAAAAATTTAAAAACCATTTCCCTCCATCTCTTGTTTAAAGCAATAATCAAAACAAAAAAAAAGTGTTTTGAAACATCAAATAGGCGTCTATGCATTACTGGGATGGCAACATTTTTTTTTATTTTATCAAAATCTACTGAAATGCTTTCAATTAATTAAAAAATTCCTTTTTTTAATTTACAGGAAAAAACGCCAAATAAGTTGTGCATCATGCACCTTGGTGTCTAGATTAGGACTAGTTAAAACAAAACCTTCCATGAGCTTTTGTTGTATTTTTTTTTTTAATATTTATAATGTTTATAACATTGAGAACAAACAATTTGTAAATTTTTATTTTAACCAACTGATGGTTACCCTAGATTATTTTTTCCAATTAAATGAATATAAAATTGCCGCATTTTAAGCAAATGAAAAATCTTCGGCCATCTTTGCTCAAAGAAAATATTACAAAAAAAACTATGCCGGAATTGGACCAATTTGATTTTGTGGGTTATATTTTTGAAATCAGAAGGCTGGTGCGGAAAAACTGCAAATTCAATTTTATATATGTCATTGTCATATGTATTAGAAAGTGTATGAAGGGTTTTTCGTTCGCATTACACTTGGGGTTTGAAAGGTAGCTATTAGGAACAGTTGTGACATATTTGCTATTTTTTATCTATAAATCTATAATCTATCTAGAAATATCTAGAAAAATCGCATCACGTATCGTCCAAGTTTGTACCCCAAAACTCCTTTATTATATCCGAAGCTTTTTCGCCGAGCATTATAGAGGGCGCATTTGTATGAGCGCCTAAAGCTCTAGGGAAAACGCTGCAGTCTGCCACCCGCAATCGCGGTACGCCATACACTTGCAATTGCGCATTGACTACTGCTCCGGGGTCCGTGCTGGGCCCCATTTTGGCGGTACCCACTTGGTGGTGAAGCGTAACACTGATCGACCTAAGAACACAACCAGCTGGAATTTTAAATTTAAAGTCCAACTTGCAGTTAACTGCAAGTTTATATAAGGATCGTTTTCCGTTATACAGGGTGGTTTGCTCCTGTGGGATTCTGTCACATGCCGATAAGACTGTATTTTATCGAAAAATTTTAAACAGGAAAGTTGTTTGTATCGAAGTGCTGCCTACCATTACTCCGGGGTATCTCATATGTGTCATGAGAACACGTAAATTATTTGTTTTATATTATATTATATATATTATTTCATTTTTAGATTTTTGAGAAATTTTCATGGTGGGTTCATTCAGGTTTTGTCTATTTAATCTGTAGAAAAAATCTGCGTACGTACTGCAAAATGTTCATAAATAAAAAAATGAAAAATTGAAAAACGGTCTATATCTCCTTTGGTAGTGAAGATATTGCCATAGGATTTTAACCATTAAATGTTTGTCATAAATGATGGTATTGTTAGGAGTGAGCTGAGTGGGCTGAACCCGGCCCTGGGCCCGATTTACAAGAATTCAGACGAACCCCGTTGGTAATTGCGGAGCGGCGTGCTATGAAATATAGGAGACATCGTCGATAAAAGATAAAAATAAAGCTAGGAAAGTAAAATGATTAGTCAGGATAAAATTTTTGCTAAACTAATTATCCTGGTGTT